CTGTTTTTGTGTAACTGTTTGACACAAAGACTCAGTATAATTGGCCATGTTTTTCTTTTCACTCTTGCTGTCATGAATTCAGATCCAAAATTAAACACTAAGTTTGTATATTATGTTTCAGTGTTTCTTCCCAGTATTTTATGGTTTACAAACAAGAACCTATGTACTTAACGGTTATCAACCACTGTGTCAAGCCCATTTTGAGAATAAGAGTAAATAAAAGAATGAGTTCATTGCACAGTGGATCTCTTTGAAAATATAAAGATTGCCAAAGACTTTTGGTTTTGTTTTTTTCTCTCTTAAGTTGTTTTAGTCCCAGAGAGCTTTAAATGAAGTCAGAATATTTCCTTAGTCCCCATCTCTTACAATGGATCTCAAGCCAGTTTTACTTAGTAGTTTGCCAGTAGCTTGCATGCAATAAAAGAGGAGGTTAGAGGGGCGCCTGGGTGGCGCAGTCAGTTAAGCGTCCGACTTCAGCCAGGTCACGATCTCGCGGTCTGTGAGTTCGAGCCCCGCATCAGGCTCTGGGCTGATGGCTCAGAGCCTGGAGCCTGTTTCCGATTCTGTGTCTCCCTCTCTCTCTGCCCCTCCCCTGTTCATGCTCTGTCTCTCTCTGTCCCAAAAATAAATAAACGTTGAAAAAAAAAAATAAGGAGGTTAGAGATGATAAGGCTTTCTGCTTGGGCAGATCGTCCCTGAGTAGTTAAAACTAAGGCAGTATAAGGTTTCCTTGATTGAGGTCTTTGGAACCTGTTATGCAGACAAATAGCAGTACATCTTCTCAACTTAGCATAATTCTAGGTTTAAAACAGTTAAAACTTCAAAAAAACTTCAAGAGTCCATCTCTCCATAAAAGCAGCAACAGCAACCAAAATTGTCAAAAACTGTCAGAATCTTTTTCAGGACTCTGGAAAGTAACCAAAAGTTTGTAGTAACCAGGGGAGCATTAATCAAGAAAATCACTGCATCTAGGTAAGAACAGCAAGCTTTGTGGCATTTTAACTTACCCTGTACCCATCCCATGTTCCTCAGCTCAGTGGTAGCCTTGAAAATAATAGCCGTTGTTCTTGGTACTGGTACCAGAGAGAGCCAAATAGACCTCATTCACAACACATTATAATTACAGTTGACCCTTGAACATCATGGGGGTTGGGGCATGTACCTCCTGTGCAGTTGAAAATCCATGTATAACTTTTGACTCCCCAAAAATATAACTGCTAATAGCCTACTGTTGACTGGAAGCCTTACTCATAAAAGTTGAGTAACATGTATTTTGTATGTTATATGTGTTACATAATACTGTATATATAAGTTAGGGAAAAAATAAGAGAAAAGAAAATATTAAGAAAGTCATAAGGAAAGTACATTTACAATTTGTACTATAAAAAATCTATGTACAAGTGGACTCACAGTTCAAACCTGTGTTGCTCAAGGGTTGACTGTAATTTTTTTGATTTGTCTGGTGGTTCCCTTAAGATTAATTGAAAAGACTTTCCTTTATCTCACTGAAGTGACAACCTTGGGAGTGTTTGTCAAAAATATATACTTTGTTACTGCTGCCTGAGGCACTGACAACAATTGGAGCAAAAATAGACTGACTAAAAAGCTTGAGAGGAAAGGCTGGGAATAAGATACTTTGAGGAAGAAGGGCTTTGAGGACTTGGACTTGGAAATTTTTGGAAATCTCAAAGACTATTTACAGTCATGGCTGTGCACATACATGTTCAGGCTGTGCACAAGCTCAGGCTTAGGACCTTAAGAAGGTTGTAAGTTTGTTCTGGCTGACTTTGGGGCTCTGTGTAGTCTGGAAGTGAGGGCTAAGGCAGAGTTGTAAGCTGCCTGGTTAGTATTAAAGGGATGTCCCAACACACAGAGCCCATCTTCAAAGACTGGGAGAATTTTTGGGTTCTAGGCTTTTAAGGAAATGTCTGTTCAATCACTGGTTGACCACTAAGCTAATAGAACAGAGATGTCAGTGATCACACACGACAAAAAATACTTCATAGTATTGGTTCAGAAAAGTCATTAACGAAAAAGTATATATTAACAGTAAATCCTAAGGAGGGGAAACATCTGATTTCTAGATTTGCGACATTGTAATATTCAACATCCAGTTTTCCATAAAAAGTTTTATGAAGCATGCAAAGAAAGTAAGACCCTTTCAGAGAAGAAATGAACAGAAACTGTCCCTAGGAAGCATTATGACCTTGAACTTACTGAAAATTAAACAACCAGGAGAATGATGCTCCATCAAATATCAATAGAGAAGTTATCAAAAGGAGCTAAACATAAATGATGGAGCTGAAAAGTAACAGTAGGAAATGAAGAGTTCACTAGACGGTTTCAGTAGATTTGAGTAGGCCAAAGGAAGAGTCAATGAACTCAAAGAAAGGTCAGTTGAAATACCTAGTTTGAAGAACTGAAAGAAGAAAAATGAACAGTCTTTGAGACCTATGAGATGCCATCAAGTATACCAACATATGCATAATAGGAGTTGGAGAAGGAGGAGAGAGGAGGGGAGGAAAGAATATTTGAAGAAATAATGCCCTGATAAAACTTTGTAAATTTGATGAAAAACATAACACGCTTAAGAAGTTCAATAAACTCCAAGTGGGGTAAACTCTATACCACAGCCTATCATAATCAAACTGTCAAAGACAAAGAGAATTTTGAAAGTGGCAAGAGAATCAGCTCCTCAAATAACAACGATTCTTAGATTAACAGCTGGTTTCTTATCAGAAACAATGGAATCCAAAGGCATTGGGTTGACAAAGCACTGAAAGAAAAACTGTAAATAATTCTCTATCAAAACTATCTATCCGAAATGAAGGAGAGATGACATTCTCAGGTAAAGCAGAGAGTCATTGCTTAAAGACTTAGCCTACAAGAAGTACTAAAGAGAGTCCTTCAGGCTGAAAAGAGAGGGCATGAGACAGTAATTTGCATTCACATGAAAGAAAAAACACAGGTAAATGTAACTACGTAGGTAATTATAAAAGTAGTGTACATTTTGTTTGTAACTCCTTTTCCCCCTATTTGACATAAAAGACAACTGCATAAAGAAGAAACTATAAACCCATGTTTATGGGCATGCTATTTATAAAGATGTAATTTATGACAACACATAGAGAAATTATATAGGAGCAAAGTTTTTGTGTACTACTGAAATTAAATTGGTCTTAATCTAGACTGGGTTGTTATAAATGAAGATGTGCAAGGACTAAGGAAATAGCAAAAATATATAGTAAAATAAATGATAAGAGAATTAATATGGTACACTAGCAAAATTAAATTTTTCAGTTAAAAGGCAGAGGTTTTCAGAATGGATAAAAAAAAAATCCATCTGTTGATTCAGACACAATCATTGGTTGAAAGGAAAGGATGAAAAATGCATCAGTAACTAAACATGCAAATAGTAACTAAAAGAGCTTGAGTGGCTGGACTAAAATCAGACTAAATAAATGTATGAAAAAAATTGTTATAAGAGATAAAGAAGGACATTATATAGTGATAAAGGGGTCAATCCATCGGAAAGGTACTAACAGTTATAAACTTTTTGTACCTAACAACAGAATTTCAAAATACATGAAGCAAAATGTGGCAGGATTGAAGGGAGAATATGGTTCAGCAATTATAGTTGGAAACTTAACCCTACTTTCAGTAATGGGTAGAATGACTAGACAGAGGATCATCAAGGAAATAGAAAGTGTGAACACTATAAACCTCCTACACCTAACCGTCTTACAAAGAACATTCTTCCCAACAACAGCAGAATGCACATTCTTAAGTGCACATGGAGCAGTTTTTTGGATAGGCCATATATTAGGCCACAAAACAAATCTTGATATATTTAAAAGCAAATCATACAAAGTATGTTCTCTGACCACAAATATAGAAACAAATCTGGAAAATTCATAAATATATGGAAGTTTGATAAAACAGTTAATTTAAAACTACTGAAACTATCTTAAACTAGTCATATTTAGTGAGAAGTGTGTGTGTGTGTGTATTTTTAAATCACAGAAAAATACATTATAACTTTTTATTCATATGCTTGAAAATTTAAGGAGAGTTTTGGTATTTGTAATGAATGTTCTAGTTATTAGGACTGTGTGTTGCCCCAGGTTTTTGTCCTTCAGTATTTGATTAAACATTTTATAGTCCTATGAAAACAGCAGATAATCCAAAAATCTATTGTATGATTTTTTTTCCTTCAGACTCACTTTTCTGATTATGTCATATGTGGATTAAAAAAATTGGCCTATATTTTCCACATATAAGTTAGATAGCACTTACAGGCTCAGAAGTATACTTAATGATACATTGATTTATAAAGGGAAAGAGTTATTGGTTATTTTCCATTAATAAGCTTCTTTACTGCTTGTTTGATAACATTATCAGGTGTTAAGTGGGAGTGATACATGACATTTAATAAAATATACCATGTCATTTCTCAATGGTAATTTAAGATCTTTATTTAGTGGAGTGATGAGAAAATGTTAAAACTAACTTAAAAAATCTTTTTTTTAATATGAAATTTATTGTCAAATTGGTTTCCATACAACACCCAGTGCTCATCCCAACAGGTGCCCTCCTCAATACCCATCACCCACTTTCCCCTCCCTCCCACCCCCCCATCAACCCTCAGTAAACTAACTTAAAAAATCTTAAAAAATATTGTTCCCTTTGAGTTAGCATTGAGAATTTTTTAATGTAATTCATGCTTATTCATTTATTTTTCTCATTGTGTTGTTACTTTTCATTTTTAGCTGCAGTAGTTTTAATAAGCTTTAAAGAAGTAACATCTTTTTTCTGGTGGGGAAAATTTCAGTTTTCTTTGTTAGTTTGGTAAAAACTAGCCTTTTACATTTATGTGAAAAAAAGACCAACTTTAATCGAAACTTTTTAGTGCATGTAGATCAGAGGTTTTTCACATATTTACAAAGGAATTTGGCTACAAGTTAAACTTGAAATTTGCGGTACATGTTAATTTCTTTCAGGAGAAGGAAGCCAACACCCTTTTGGAGCCATGAATATTGTCCGAACTCCATCTGTTGCTCAGATCGGAATTTCAGTGGAATTATTGGACAGTTTGGCTCAGCAGACTCCAGTAGGCAGTGCTGCTGTATCCTCAGTTGACTCATTCACTCAGGTAATGCAATGCATATTTCATTATTTTCTAAATTTTAAAATCAAATTCTGTACTTTAAAAATTAGCTTCATGGTAGAAAACCTGTAAAAATGAAGGTAAATATGTATGGCATAAGTTATTGGCTTCTGTGGATAATTTAACCTTGTCTACTTCTATAGGTACTCTAAAATTGGTAAATGTTTTGATGAGACTTGTTTTTATAGTGATGAAATAGCTCAAAGCAATTTAAAAATGGGATTAAATATTAACATTTTTTCCCCTCCCACAGTATACTAGGTTGTAGGTGTATAGTTGTGAATTTTATAAGCAAGATTCTCATCCTCAAGGAGCTTAAACTGACATAATTCCATGATGATTGGCTTAAGCAAAAAATGTTTATTTTTGAGACAGCACATGTCGGGGAGGTACAGAGAGAGAGAGGGACAGAGGATCTGAAGCATACTCCTCCCTGACAGCAGCAAGCTTGATGCAGAGTTCAAACTTATGAATCAGGAGATCGTGACCTGAGCTGAGGTTGCACGCTCAACCAACTGAGTCAGCCAGACACCCCAATGATGATTGACTTTTAACCTCTGTATGACGAAAGGCTGAAGGGGAGAATGATGTAGGCAAAGGTGTAGCTAATACAAAGGCCCTGAGGTAGAAAAATAATTTTGTTGTTTGGAAAATAATATGAAGGTCTTTGTGGCTGGAGTAGAGCGAGCAAGGGTGAGAGATGGGAGATGAGATGAGAGTAATTGGGGAGGTGACGCAGGGTAAAATCATGGTACCTCACTGGCTTTTATAAGGACTTTAGCTTATATTCTACTTGGAAAAGAAGACATAAGAGAGTTTTGAGAAGAGTAAGAGGATCTAAGTTACATTTTAAAAGGATCATTTTGCATTTTTGGAGAGACACTGTAGTGGGAAGGAGGAAGATTAATTAGGAGGCTCTTATGAAAATCTAGATGAGAGATTATAATGACTTGAACTGGTGAAGTCCTGGGAGGTGGATATGAAGGTAATTAAAAGTACTGGCATATCTTGTTTTATTGCACTTCACTATATTGTACCTCACAGGTACTGTTTTTTTTATATATTGAAGGTTTGTGGCAACCCTGAATGGAGCAAATCTGTCAGCAGCATTTTTCCAACAGCATTTGCTCACTTCATGTCTCTTTGAACATGTTGGTAATTCTTGCAATATCTTAAACTTTTTTGTTATTTTATTTGTTATGGTAATCCGTGATCAATAACCTTTGATGTTACTATTATAATTGTTTTGGGGCACCATGAACTGTGCCCATATGAGATGGAGAACTTAATTGCTAAGTGTTGTGTGTTTTCTGACTCCTCCACTTACCAACTATTCCCTGATCTTTCTCTCCTCAGGCCTCCCTATTCCCTGAGACACAACAATATTGAAATTAGGCCAGTTAATAACCCTACAATGGCCTTTAAGGGTTCAAGTGAAAAAAGAGTCAATCTATGAGGCAGACTCCATTGTTGTTTTATGTTAAGAATTTGCCACAGCCACCCCAACCTTCAGAAACCACCACCCTTGATCAGTCAGCAGCCATCAACATTGAGGCAAGACCCTCCACCAACAAAAAGATTATGACTCGCTGAAAGCTCAGATGATGTTTAGCATTTTCTAGCAATAAAGTATTTTTTTAATGAAGGTATGTACATTTTTTCAGACATACTGCTAGTGCATACTTAACAGACTATAGTGTAGTGTAAACAAAATTTTTATATGCACTAGAAAACCAAAGCATTGACTTGACTCACTTTACTGTAGTGTCTGGAACTAAATGGCAGTATGTCTGAGGCATGCCTGTAGTTGATTTCTAGAGATAATTTGAAGATGGAGCCTGTAGTGTTTCATGGTGTGGATCACATGTAAGGTCTGAGATTAAAGAGAGACATCAACTGTGGCCCAAGGATGTTGGCTTGAGGAACTTGAACATGGAATATTGAACACAAGTATGGGCTGGGAGTGGAATCAGGAGTTGGATTTTGGTTGTACTATGTTTGGGATGCTTGTTAGACATCCAGCTGGAGATGACGAGTCTAGAGTTCAAGAGCGAGGTCTAGGACACAGATCAAAATGGGAGTCATCAGTGTAGAGATCTTATCTAGAGTTTTGTAGGACTGTGGTTACTAGAGAAGTAATTATAAATAGAAAATTTGATCTCAGGGCCATTTCAAATTTGAGAAGCTTAAGAAATGAAGAGAGAAAAAGAGTAGCCTAAAGTAGGAGGAGACCCCAAAAGTAGTGTTTTGGAAGCCAAGCAGAGACTGGTTTTGAAGAAGGAAGTATCAGTAGTATCATTGCTGATGGGTTGAGATGAGGCTGAGAAGTAACCACTGGATTCAGCAAGATAGAAGTCATTGAAGAGTTTGATAAGAGTTCAGGGTGGTAGAGGAAGAGTTTGGAGTGAGTTGGAGAGAAGGAAGTGGAAACAGTAGTGACTATAGATGACTCTTGATGAGTATAGTTGTGGAGGACAGCAGATAAATGGTTTGGTTACTTAAGGGGGGCTATGGGTACAAGGACTTTGTTTTTACTGTTTTTAATGGGAGATATTACATCATGTTTGACTGGTGTGAATGAAGCATTAAAGAAAAACTAACGATGCAGGAGAATGGGGAGAGTTGCTGAAGTGGTGTCCTTGAGTAGGAAATGAGAGTACATTAGATAGGATAATGGACAGTTCTCATAGTAATGGATATATGGATACGGATGGATGCAAGAGGTTGGTAAAGGTGGTGATGAGAACTTGTGCACGTTCTCTCTTGATTCCTTCTCTTTGTTCAGTGAAATAGGAAACAAGGTCATCAGCTAAGATTGAAGAGAAAGGAGTATTGGATATTTAAAGGAAAAGGATTATTAAATAAGTCCACTAGGAGAGGAGGAGGGTGAATGAACTAGGGAATCCTTTTCTGGACGGCATATTCTTTAGGGTTTTGGCCATGAATTTAAAGGCAGACTTGTCACATGATCTCTTGAGAATGAGCTGAATTAAAAGAATGATAGAGTCTGGGTCTTTTTTTTTTTTTTTTCCAGTAATTAAAAAAACATACTGCTGTGCTGAGAATAGCAAGTTGTAAAGCAATAGTTACAGTATCCCAGATAGACAATATTAGAAAAATGTCTGAAAAATACATACCAAAGTGGTGTTATCCCTGGAGAGAGTTTAAGAAGACTTTTTACTCTAGATATTTATAAATTATATGAGCTTTTTTTTTTAAAAAAATTTTTTTTTTTCAACGTTTATTTATTTTTTGGGACAGAGAGAGACAGAGCATGAATGGGGGAGGGGCAGAGAGAGAGCAGAGAGTGAATGGAAACAGGCTCACAGGCTCCAGCCATCAGAGCCTGACGGGGCTGAACTCGGACCATGAGACCGCGGACCTGGCACCTGGCTGAAGTCGGACGCTCAACCGACTGCGCCACCCAGGCGCCCCTATATGAGCTTTTTAAATAAAGCATATGTATTTTTTTTTTTAATTTTTTTTCAACATTTATTTATTTTTGCGACAGAGAGACAGAGCATGACGGGGAGGCAGAGAGAGGGAGACACAGAATCGGGAAACAGGCTCAGGCTCTGAGCCATCAGCCCAGAGCCTGACGCGTGGCTCGAACTCCTGGACCGCGAGATCGTGACCTGGCTGAAGTCGGACGCTTAACCGACTGCGCCACCCAGGCGCCCCGCATATGTATTTTTTTAATGCTTATTTATTTATTTTGAGAGAGTGCAAGAGAGTGGGGGAAGGGCAGGGAGCGAGAGGGAGAGAATCCCAAGCAGGCTCCACACTGTCAGTGCAGAGTCTAAGGCGGGGCTCAGTCCCACGAACCGTGAGATCATGACCTGAGCTGAAATCAAGAGCTGGATGCTCAACCAACTGACTGAGCCACTCAGGTGCCCCAAAGCATATGTACTTTTTATTAAATATTTTATTATGAGATATTTTAAATATATAGGAAAATACATCCTACAAATATTGTATGCCTACTGTGTACCAGGTGCTTTCTAAGCACAAATGGATAAAAATAGGTAGACAAAATAATAGTTGTTCTTATAGAGCTCTCTTTATAGTGGATTATATAAGAAGACTTCAGAGTGTCTTCCACCTAGATTTAACATATTTGCCACTAATTAGTAGCATATTTGCTACTAATTTAAAAAAAAAAAGTATTTCAGATAAGGCTTGGTGGCTTCTGCTTCTCTTCTTCCCATTTTTCTGGTAGCTACTCTTCTAACTTCATATTTTTGCCATCCTGTGTTAGTACTTTAAAAGAAACATATATGTCCACAAAAAATGTATAGCACTACTCATTTAAACATGTTTTTAATTTATATTCTTGATTACTCTTCTTTTACTTTTTATTAATAGTACGTGTACGTGGCTTAAACATCACACAGTTTTACATGCAAGACAGTTGTCCTTGGTTATACTTCTTATATTCTTCTTTTTCTGCTCCTTAAAAGTACTCACTTTCAACCTTCAACCTCCTTCTCATTTTTTTTTCACCGATTTCTTCCTGTATTTAACTTCCATGTGTCAGAAAAAACTTGCTTAATCTGTTCTTAACCAATTTGTCTGTTGTAGGTGTTTTCCATCGACTTACCAATGCCTAATGTGATTTAGCTCTCTCATTCCTCTGTTCCCCAGCATATGGAGATATCTTTTCTCCCCACTTTTTTTTTTAATGTTCATTTTACTTATTTTGAAAAAGAGTGTGAAATCAGGGAAGGGAGAGAGAGTGAGGGAGAGAATCTGAAGTAGAGACAGAGAATCTGAAGCAGGCTCTGCCCTGCCAGTGCAAAGCCCAATGTGGAGCTCAAATTCACCAACCTAGAGATTATGACCTGAGCCAAAGTCGGTTGCTCCAACCAACTGAGCCACCCAGGTGCCCATCCCCACCTTTTTTTTTTTTTTTTAAGATTTTATTTTATTTTTAGGCAAGAGATTGTGTGCAGATGGGGTGATGAGGGAGAACAAGAATCTCAAGCAGGCTCCATGCCCAGCATGGAACCTGATGTGGGGCTTGATCTCCTAAGTCAAAATCAGGAGTGAGATGCTTAACTGCATCACCAAGGCGCCCCAAGATTTACACCCAATGTGGGGCTTAAACTTACAACCCCAAGATCAGGAGTCACATGCCCTACTGACTGAGCCAGCCAGGCACCACCCCCACCCCCAACCATTTTATTACTGATTTTCATTTAATTAATCAGTTTTCAGTATCATGATCACTAAATGTTTTTCAGAACTGAGCCAACATACTGTGATTTGCATTTTCTTTCTTGTATAACGTTTTATTTTTCTTGGTTAATAAATGCATTTTTCCTTTGTATGGATTTCTGTTTCCAGGTCTAATTTATGCCCAAACTCTGCCAAGTATAAATTCCCATTCAGTATATTTTTAAAAAGCAGTTTTTAAATTTTTTTTGCTAATATCCTTCTTGGAACTCTTTTTTGTTCTTCTGTGGACTGATTATTCTCTGGGTCTGTTGCATAACTATAGTCAAGGTTTTATTTTCTTTAACCATTATTGGAGAAATTCCTTTTATTTCTCTTCTGTGTTGTAGTCCTTTTTTTTGTTTTCTCTGTTTTTCTTGTTGATTACCCCTTTGTATCTTTTAAAATTTTTTTTTAAATGTTTGTTTATTTTTGAGACAGAGGCAGAGCGTGAGCGAGGGAGGGGCAGAGAGAGGGGGAGACACAGAATCTGAAACAGGCTGCAGGCTCCGAGCCGTCAGCACAGAACCCGATGTGGGGCTCGAACCCACAAACCGTGAGATCATGACCTGAACTGAAGTCGGACGCTCAACCGACTGAGCCATCCAGACGCCCCTTTATTTATTTATTAAAAAAAATTTTTTTGGGGGCGCCTGGGTGGCGCAGTCGGTTAAGCGTCCGACTTCAGCCAGGTCACGATCTCGCGGTCCGTGAGTTCGAGCCCCGCGTCGGGCTCTGGGCTGATGGCTCAGAGCCTGGAGCCTGTTTCTGATTCTGTGTCTCCCTCTCTCTCTGCCCCTCCCCCGTTCATGCTCTGTCTCTCTCTGTCCCAAAAAAATAAATAAACGTTAAAAAAAAAAAAATTTTTTTGTAATGTTTATTTTTGAGACAGAGACAGAGTGTGTCCCTTTTGTATATTTTTTAAATGAATGTAAATGGTATACTGTGCAAATTTTTGCAGCTTGGCTATTGTTCATTCAACATTTTAAAGATTTATCTGTGTTGACACATGGAATAAATCTAGTTTATTTCAATTGTTGTATAGTATGCAATTGTATGAATGAGACAGTTTTTTTTTTCATTTCTATATTGATGGATATTTTCACTAATATTTTTGTTAAGACCTTAAATTTTTGCCAAACTGATGGGTGAAATTTGAATACCACTATTGTTTGGATTTGTATTTCTTGATTACTGGTGAAGTTGAACATTTTTTCTCATTTTGACCTGCATTTGTTTTGTTTTTATTTTTGAGAAAGTGCATGCGTGCAAACCGGGAAGGGGGAGAGGCAGAGAGGGAATCTTAAGCAGGTTTCATGCCCAGAGAGGATCTTGATGTGGGGCTCCGTCTTATAACCGTGAGATCATGACCTGAGCAGAAATCAAGAGTCTAGTGCTTAACTGACTGAGCTACCCAGGTACCCTGCAGGCTGCCTGCTCAGCACGGAGCTTGTCCAAAGGCTCAATCCCACAATCCTGGGATCATGACCTGAGCTGAAATGAAATCAAGAATCAGATGCTCAACCGACTATGCCACCCAGGCACCTATATATATATTTTAACAGCAATGATGGTTTATATATTTTGCCCAATTTTCTATTATTTGGCAGTTTTTAATTTTACCTTTTTGGGAAGTGGTCTTTATGTATTCTGGGTAATAATCCTTTGTTCTGTATGTTGTAAGTTTTTGTCCTAGCATGTTGCTTGTCTTTTAGTATTGTTTTTGGTATTTTTTGCATGCAGATGCTATATTTTTGTGTTGATGATCATATCTTTTGTGATTTTGTGTGTGTGTGTGTGTGTTTGAGAAGTTTTTGCTGTCCTAATGTGTGAAGATGTTAGGTTCTCTTATGGGTATTTAAAGGTTTAACCTTTTACTTTTTGAATTATGTTTGTGTGTGGTATGGGAAGGGATCTAAATTCATGTTTCCCTTAAGGAAGGGTAGGTGTCCTAACCCCATTAATTGAAAGCTAGTCCTTCTTTTTGTTTGTTTGTTTGTTTGTTTGTTTGTTTAACTCTGAGTTAATAGCATCTTTGTTATATATCACATTGTCACATAGGCTTAGATAGGTTTCTGGCCTCTCTCTTCTATTCCAGTTAGTTCATTTGTCCCTTTGCCAGTAAAAGTCTTAATATCTGTTAGGTCAGACCCCTCCTCCTGCTCATCAAAATAAGTTTAGATATTCTCCATAATAATTTTAGTATAAGCTTATTGAGTTTCATGAAAAATTTATTGGATTTTGTTGGAAATGACATTGGATTTATAGGTTTGATTTGGGGAACATTGCTGTTGTTATATTATGTCTTCCCATCTGTGCACGTGTTGTATCTTCCCACTGAACATGGTGTATAGATCTTTTCATTTGGTTTCTTTTCTGTCTCTCAAGACAGTCTTGAAGTATTTTCCACCCCAGTTTTATCAGCTTCTTAGCAGTTTTCCTAGATATGTACAGACTGTGTCTATTCTGAATTGCAGCTTTTAAAGTTACATTTTAAAATTTTGTTGCTGGTGTGGAGGTTTGCTGTTGTTTTTTTCCTCCTGATACTGATATTTTATTTTATTTAAAAAATTTTTTTAATGTTTATTTTATTATTTTTGAGAGAGAGCGCCAGAATGTGAGTCAGGGAAGGGCAGAGAGCAAGAGGGAGACACAGAATCTGAGACAGGCTCCAGGCTCTGAGCTGTTTGTTGTCAGCCCAGAGCCTGAAGTGGGGCTCGAACTCACAAATGTGAGATCATGACCTGAGTCGAAGTCGGCCGTTTAACCAACTGAGCCAATCAGGCGCCCCCTGATACTGATATTTTAGTTAGTGATTTTACTGAACTCTGGATATTAGTTCAAGTAACTTAATGGTAGCCTCTTGGATTACATTACCTTTGATACTACTAGGCAAAAAGATAAAAAACTAATAAGGTATTTCCTCATTATATTTAAGGCTTTATCTTTCTGGCAAGAAAAAGACTTCTTAGAGATGGTTGTTATTTTAGATATGAGAAAGTAGTTTGATTTGAGGCGGGTGGGATTTGAGGAGGGGGCACGGTATATGTAGAGGTAGAGATAAAAGATATTTTGAAGGAAAAACATTTTTTCCCCTAAAATGAATATGTTAGGAAATTAAACTAGTTAAAAATCACAGAAATACTTTGAGATGCAAAGAAAGTACTAAAGGCAGGTTGTTAAGATTTTGTGCCACAATGTAATTTTATGACTTTCCTTAACTTGCAGCATTAGACTGTCTTAGAACTCACAGTCCTTAAAACCAAGTTACTGCAGAAACATTTTTAATTAAAAATACTAAGGTCTAAGTGGAATATTTAGCATGATTCATTAATCTATTCATTATTAACTTTTCAGTTCACACAAAAGATGTTGGACAACTTCTACAATTTTGCTTCATCATTTGCTGTGTCTCAGGCCCAGATGACACCAAGTCCATCTGAAATGTTCATTCCAGCAAATGTGGTTCTGAAATGGTATGGGAAGTTTTGTGTCTCTAATATTAAGGCTTTTAGTAACCATATATATTTTTTGCCTGTGAATGTATTTCTTCTTTGACATTTAAACATATTCTTTATTGTGGACATCAGCACACATTAACATTAGCATGCCATGAAAAAGTGTACTGTGGAGTTCGTATGGAGGAATATTCTTACCCTAAATATTCTGTTATGTAGTAGCCAATTGAGTTGATACAGTCAGGAAAATACAATTGCCTGTGTTTAGGGACCACAATTAAGGATTGTAAATTTTCAAATATTTTAACTTGTAAGGAACCATATAGGAATCTTGAAATACAAAGCAAAATTTTTTCGTAAGTTTAGAAAGTCTTGGTCTAACGTAGACATTGTATAAGGTATAAGGGTGGTTTATACTGCATCCTATACTTAAATGATTAATCAAATTTATTTCTCAGCTTTCCCATATTTCTGTTTTATAGGTATACTTTTCACTTTGAATATCCCAGTGGTGGGATGCATAAGGAGAATTTGTTGAGCAGTGGTAGCATGGTGTAGCATGGATAGCCCTGAAAGGTATTAGGTTTGAGATTTGTTAAAATGTAGGTAGGTATGTGACCTTGAGTAAATTCTTCCTCTCTACTCATCTATGAAATGAGGGAGGAGGAGTTAGATTTGTTTTTTTTTCCTTAGGTCCCTTCTAGCTATCAGATTTGCAGAAGATAAAAAATTAATAAAATTTATTATGATTTGTACTCTCTGATACAAGCCAGTCATACTTAACTCACTATGCTTAGTGTCCTTTTATAAGAATAATTAAACTTTCAGATTAATATTTTAGCTTTTTTATCTCAGCTTTTTAGAAGTGACATCTAAAGTTATTTGCTTTTTAACAAGTCCTTTAGTAGATTATGAAAGATCTTAATTTTCTTGTAAATATGTTTTTCTTTTGTAGGTATGAAAACTTTCAAAGACGACTAGCACAGAACCCTCTCTTTTGGAAAACATAATTTGAATAAAATAATTTTTAATGGATTCTGAACTTTGTCATGTTTTGAAGAGAAATGCCTCCATTTAAAAGTGTGAAGTCAAAAGGATCATGCAACCTAAGTTTAAAAACTACTTATTGACTGCAGCTTAATTATAATCTTTATAAAAAATTAAACACATGGAAAAATGAAAATATGACTTCATTAATGAGTTTTTTTCCCTTAAGCTTATAATATTCAGATGCAAAACACTTTGTTTTGGCTAGGATTTATTTTTTACTTAAAAATAAGGCATATTTACAACAATAGTGTGCCAAATGCCATTGCATTTATAATCTTTCATTTATTTTTATATTGGTTTGCTAGAGTAGTTAACTGAAAATCAGCTATATCAAAGTATGGGAAAACATATCAAATTCACATTCTTACATATGGGGAAATTATTTTCAATTAGTATTTCTTAAGATTACAAGTTTTTCCATTAACACAGGTTGGTTGTCAGTTTTATATCTGCAAATTCATACATGTTTGTTTTTTTAATAAAATTACCATGGTTAATACTGATGAGGTTTTATTTAATGCTGGTAATGTTGTGAGGCATTTGTGTGTAGAATATAGGATTTAATTCCTTTGCCTATTAAGGTAAAGCTATTGTGTCTCCAGAAGGGAACCCTTGGCTCATTTATACCGGTGACATCCATTGACCAAAAACTACCAAGATCTCACCTGTAATCAAAGCTATGTTGATTAGCTAGCTGCACCAAAGGAGTCAGACACCAGAGGAACTGTGGAGTATCTCCAAAGGAAGAGTACGTACATATAAGAGTTTGGGGCCTCTAGTTAGTTTTTAAACATTTTGGCAAGGATTAGTGAAAATTTGGAAACTAGAGAGTTGCTAGTACAGTCAGTGTCGTTAGAATGCTTGACTATGCAGAGTTATCATTAGATCGGTTTGTGGTCTTATCTTGAAACGTGTATCTGATTGAGCTAGCAATCAAAGTTTGAGCTTAGGCAGTTTCTTGTGTTGTCAAAGTTTGGTAGACTTGCACGTCTTGCAAGTTGTACATTTTTGCAAATTGTAGTTTCTATTTTTTATTTAGTTTTTATATCCAAGTTAGTTAACATATAGTGCAATAATGATTTCAGGAGTAGATTCCAGTGATTCATCCCCTATGTATGACACCCAGTGATCATCCCAACAAATGTCTTCCTTAATGCCCCTTGTAGTTTCTTTTTCAATTTGTAATTCTCTTCTGGTCTTTATTTGGTCTATGTTGAAGGATAGGCCATTATCTTCTGGAATTGTGATCAAGCCAGATTAAGATTTCTCTTTACTGGGTTATAATTGTGTATCAAGAAACTAATGGTAGTCCTTAGTTTCAGGTCTTCATGTTAATAATGGTTGATTGTTGTTGAATCATGTGACTTGACATTGCTACACAACAGCATTTTAAGACTCAGAACAGAAAGCATCTGCCAGCTGTAACAAAATTACCAGAAGCAAAATGAGTATTCTACTAGAATGCAAAGCTAGGAAGGAGCCTAGGTTACAAAATGCAAGCTACAAAAACATATCTCTAAGTCCAGCTGGGTCTATTCTATAGAGTCAGGTAGCTTCTTTCTTTAGCTTGGTCAAAGACCATTGTACCTGTCTAGTGATCTTTATAGATCTTTATATATAATATAATAAGTGCAAACTGCCTCTTGGCTTGCCAAGAGGAAATAGAAGACCATGTCATTTCCCATGACAATCCTGTAGTGAATTTAAACTGGTTTGTTGGACTTTCACAGCCTGAGTCAAGATTTGAACCACCTTTCCTAGTTGTATTCAAGAGAGTTTGCACTTTGAGAGATCTCCTAAGTAGCCAATTCCTGCTTCATTTTTAAAGGCTCTGCTTATCCTTCCCAAGGAAAATGCTACACTGGATAAAAAAGGGCTTTAAATATCTGAAAGCTTAAATATTATTCTGTACCACAACATAGGTTTGGGTTTAGGAGGTAGGCAAAAGCCTGGTGTAGACCTAAGTAATCCCTGGTGAGGTACAGAGAATATTAGGAACATAAATAATATTTTATCACAACAGAAATGAGCCAAAAATTGTTTCCTAGAGGTGGGCACATGTCAGTGGAGTTCAGTTCCTGCTTAGAAGTCTGGAAAATCTTTGGAGAAATGATTAGTGCCATGAGAATAGCTCCAGCATTTGTTCCCCTCCCTGGGAAGTCTAGTTCTGCCAACAATGCTCTTACGTAATTCTAGCAGAAGCATTTTGTTGACTTGGAGTAAACTTTTTAGTTTTTATTCAGAATGAAGGCTGAGGCTACTGATAAGAGGAAAACTCAAGAATCAAAAGAGACCTTTGGGAGGAAATTGATCTCAGGAGTTTAAAGGAACAGGTATTACCTCTTTTATAGTAGAATTTTATAACAAGAGTAGCTGTGATCTGAGAAAACTGTAACATGGAATGCAAAAAAAAGTTTTGCATTTCTTAAGGTGGCCCAAAAAGACCATAGAGGATTAAGAATAAAATGATAAAGATATCTGAGGGCATATTGAGAAAACTTTAGGATTATCTCTAGGAGGTACCAAAATATAATAAGCAAAAGAGGGAAAAAGAACAAAGGTATCAGAAAATTAATCATGTTTTTTTGCCTTGGGCAGAAGCAGTTCACTTTCTGTTGTCATGTCTTTGACCTGAGGGTTTGATTAGTAGTCTTCCTTCAAAGATCATGCTTCTGGAGAATCCCTGAGAATCAGTGGCTTAAAGTCTGGTGGAGTGGTTGTCCAGCTGTCTGGAGAAGATCTATGTCATTTAGTTGGGAAACATGGAATCATTGTTTTGGACTTCGACTGCCATGCTAGTTACAATATCTGATAAGCTTATTTTTCATTGAAGGCAGTTTTTCTCTGATGTCTCTTCCAGAATATTAAATTTGCTGAAGACTGAGGATGTTACGGACAGTGATGTTTTAGTAGAATGGAGAGTTGAATTCACTATTGAGGTATAGCACAATTACAAGATTATTATAAATTATAACTATGAGACAACAAAGGTATTATGGACAGTGACAATTTTCTAGGCCTGTAATTTGTTCCACAAAGTATATATTTTTTCAACACAGTTATTGTATCAGTCTTTCCATAACCATGAGTATGTTTCTTTTTACCTGAAATACATACAGTCATTTGCTTTGGTGTGAATGTGTATGTTCCCATGAAATTTATATGTTGAAATTCTAATGCCCAATGTGATGGCATTAGGGCCTTTGGGAAGTGATTAGGTCCTGAGATTAATGCCCTTATAAAAAGGACCCTAAGAGAGTTCCTTTGCCCCATCCACTATATGAGGATACAAGGAAAAGTGTGAACCTGCAAGAGGGCCCTCACCTGACCACACTAGGCAACTTGATCTTGGGCTTCCAGCCTCCAGAACTGTGAGAAATAAATTTTTGTTGATTATAAGCTACCTAGTCTTTGCTATTTTGTTACAGCAGCTTGAATGGACTAAGACACACTGAAACATTTTTATTAACACGTTTTCCTTATGCATATTTTAGGAATGCTGACCTCTTGATTTTTCAGGCCTTTTTTAAGTTCGATTTTTAAAAAAATTTTAATGTTTAGTTTTGAGAGAGAGACAGCGGGATAAGGGCAGAGAGAGAGGGAGACACAAGATCTGAGGCAGGCTTCAGGCTCCAAGCTGTTGGCACAGAGCCTGATGTGGGGCTGGAATCCACCAACCATGAGATCATGACTTGAGCCAAAGTTGGATGATTAACTGAGCCACCCAGGCACCCCTAAGTTTGATTTTTAAAAAATAATTCTTAACAATAGTTTTGAATTAATTAAAATTTGAAGAATGTCAATCTTAATTTTTCCTATTATCATTTCTTCTATAAAGTGAAGGAAACCCGGAGTGCAGGCAAAAAGACATCTTAACAATTGTATTATGCCTGAATTTGGGAAAGGCAAAATCATAAAGAGATGTCAGAGGAGACAAGGTATGAATAGGAGTCAAAAATATCCAAAGGTAAGAAATAACCAATATCTGTATTCAGTATACTAGGAAAAATACTAATACCACTTACCATCTGTGACCCATGGATCTATTTTTTAAAATGCTTCTAAGTAAGTTACTTCTTGAACAAGAAGTAAAAGAATGGTAAGGAACTTTATTAGAATTTTAAATAAGGAGAAAGTAACAAACTAGTTTTCGTATTTTCATGGTTTTGATGACACATGTACCTGATAAGGACATTGTCTTCTGAATGTAACTCAGTTGTCATGTATGAACCTGGAACATGTTCATCTTGTAAATGCTGATTTTAGATTTCTTTTTTTTTTTTTTAATTTTTTTTTTCAACGTTTATTTATTTTTGGGACAGAGAGAGAGCATGAACGGGGGAGAGGCAGAGAGAGTGGGAGACACAGAATCGGAAACAGGCTCCAGGCTCTGAGCCATCAGCCCAGAGTCTGACGCGGGGCTCGAACTCACGGACCGCGAGATCGTGACCTGGCTGAAGTCGGACGCTCAACTCAACCGACTGCGCCACCCAGGCGCCCCGATATTCTAGATTTCAAATACATCTCGAATAGGTTCTGTGTTATTACTTTCTGGTTCTGGTATCCTCAAAATGTCACACTTGAAGAATTAATTGAAAACTGACAACAAATGATTTTGTTGACAAAAGAATGGCTGTCTTCTTAGCTCCATGGTTGTAAGACATTTTCATTTTAGACTTATAACTTACCTGTTAGAATTGTGAAATAATTTTTTATTCTGTGTCTTCTATTTCTTTCCATAACTTTTGTGTACACATCTGCTTTCCTCATTTGCCTATTTAAAAAAAGAGCTTATTGGGGCGCCTGGGTGGCTTGGTTGAGCGTCCAACTTCAGCTCAGATCATGACCCCAGAGCATTTGAGCCCCAAGGCTAGGCTCAAGGTTGACAGCTCAGGAGCCTGCTTCTGGATTCTGTGTCTCCCTCTCTCTCTGCCCCTCCCCCGCTCATGCTCTCTCACTCTCTCTCTCTGTCAAAAATGAATAAACAATAAAAACAAAATAAAAATTAAAAAAGAGCTTATTAGCTTCTGTGGTCTAACAGTTGCTTTCAATTTTAGCCCAGGCTGTTGACCTCATGGTTCATGGGTTGGAGCCCTGGTTCCGGCTCTGTGCTGCCCGGAGCCTGAGCCTGCTTCTGATTCCCAGGTC